AACACCGGGGCTAGCCTTTTCTAGGCTGGCGATAGGCGGGGCGCCTGGCCCACCGTGTCCGTTCGCTGCTCGTGGGAGATGCCAACTACGCTGAGCGTTTATCGGATAATCTCACAACGACAGCAGGAGGAGCTGCGGTTCGGATGTTGCTTCCCAGCTGGGAAGCACCGCGGTGGAAGAGAGGCGGCTGAGCGGATACTAAGTTAACCCCGGGCTCCATATGAAAATAAATTTTTCTTTCAAAAAACAGTACTAAGAGCTGCTCCAGTGGGGAGCTCAGACTGACAGAACACCTCCATTGGGTTGCCTATATCTGTGAAGCTAAAATAGGTGGCACTAGTTTACGTTGTCTGGGAGGTTTACAACTTCACTGCTACAAAAAGAGGAGCTGTACTTACCTTTTTAACTTGCTCTCAGACATCAGTATTGTAGCATTAGAAGCACTGATCTAGGAATACCTTCTATGTTAAAGAAAAGTACAAAGTAAATGTCAGCAGCTCCTTTTCATCTCAAGTCAAGTTCCTTTAAAGGATGTGCTGATATGCTCAGGAGCATTTTAGAATGCATGTCTGCCATCGGGTATGTTATCTACTTCATTAAAAAATACATTTAAAGTTATTATCAAAATATTTAAATTAGATTCATTATTAATTTTATTTTTGTCAATACTTTGAAATATTTTTGGGGAAAAATACCTACCTTTTTAAATATAGGTGAGTTATTCAATAAAAGAAGGATTTGCAGTTTATGATAAGACCTACTTATAGACCCCAAGTTAAATGAATTAAGTCTAAAATGAAACTAAATGTAGTTTCATTTCTTTATGTCTGTGTGTTGCAGAGCACCACTTCAGCATCTGGCTACATCTGCAACTGCAACCCTGGCTGGCAAGGAATTCACTGTGATCAGAATATCAATGAATGCTTGAGCAACCCCTGTCAAAATGGAGGAACCTGCAGTGACGGCATTAATGGATTCACATGTACCTGTACTGCCCAGTGGACAGGCCCAATCTGCCAGACCCCACAACAAGGTATAAAACTGGTACAATTAAAGCAAAACTTTAAGGAATGGCATAAAAGAGAGATTGGAGGCAGAGAATATTGAAGAATAGATTAATAAATACACTGTGTGCACACAGTGTATTTATTAAGTTGTAGTTTTGAAGATTAATTTTATTGTTGAATATCTACTGCGCTCTTGGTCAATCCAAATGTTAATAACCTGTCAAACCTGAATATTGACAGGTGTATATATATATAGTTTAATAAACCAACAATTGTTTAAGTGTCTGATGTAAGTCTGGGTTCATTTTGCAGAGTGTGGAGGCCAGCTGACTGGTCCTGCTGGTTCTTTCAGTTATCCCAACAACCCAGGTCATGATGAATATGATCACCTGGTCAGCTGCACTTGGGTGGTCCGCACTGATCCGAATAAGGTACGTTAGTGTTTTTTTAAAACTTGGATTCTTGCCATTTGGCCCATGGTTAATCAGTGACCAAGAGTTTTCAGCCCGACTCTGTATGCTTGGAACTCCAGCAAAGTGGGTACTGAAAAAGGAGCTGCTACCACATAACTGATAGGAGTGGAAAACTCTTTAAACTAAGTATTGCTGATTTGAGCCACACTAAGTATGTTCAATTGCAAAATCACAGTTTAACTATAAATATACTCACTATGGATGGAAAGTATTTTTTGTCATTCCTCAGGTGATAATACAATATTTGAACCAAATGTAAAAATCAGACATTATTATAGAATTTGATTTCATTCTTGAAATTGTGTGCACTCTCTTCTACAGGTTCTGCGCATCACATTTCCATTCTTTCATCTGGAGAGCAGCAACAACTGCAACTTTGACTTTCTACAGATTCATGATGGGGACAATCCCTCTGCTTACATACTTGGAAAATACTGTGGCCAAAATAATCCTCAAGAACTTTACAGCTCCCACAATTCTTTGTACTTTTGGTTTCGTTCAGATCATTCTGTTAATGCTGGTGGCTTCACAATTGTGTGGGAGTCCAAAGACCCAGGTATTTGGAGACATGTGTTCTGAATTTGCTGAATCAATCATTTTCAAATTTTAAAAACCATTTAAAAGCTTACCGAAAAATGTTTTGACTTCTGGTGGGCTTCAAACAGAAATGAAGTTGATTTCTTTGTGTCTTCTCAGTGTGTGGTGGTGATCTGACTGCTTCCTATGGCAACATAAACTCACCTGGTTACCCTGGAAACTATCCACCAGGGCGAGACTGCTACTGGACAGTTTCTGTGGATCCTGGCTTGCTTATTACATTTGCATTTGGGACTCTTAGCATAGAACAGCATCCTGATTGCAACTATGATTTTCTGGAGGTACGAACAGCAAGTAAAACACACCACATTTATCTCTGGTATTCTAGAGCTCCACAAGAGGTCAAAAGGCGCATCTTGTACAATTTCTGAATCAAAGTACTAAAATAATATAAACTGTTTTCCTGTGGTTGTGTGCTTTTAGCTTAACCTAGCATATCTTTCAAATGCCTTGTTTGTATGTTGCAGATTCGGGATGGCCTTCTGTCAGAAGACCCGGTTCTTGGGAAATACTGCAATACTGCATCACCACCACCTCTGCAAACAACTGGGCCAGCTGCATGGATCCACTTTCACTCCGACTTTACAGTCTCTGACAGAGGCTTCCACATCACATACACAACATCACCTAGTAAGTACTTGGTGATGTACGTAGTCATCCAAGCGAATACTCAACTAAGACTAAAAAGGTATTTGGTAAAAACACTACTGAAGTAAAAGTTAAAGGTAATGTTATTTTTATAGCACATTTTCAGCAACAAGGCAATACAAAGGGCTTTACAGGAATTAAAAGGAAATGCAAACAAAATAACAAACCAAATGGCAAAAGAAGAAAAAGAATCTAATGTTGATCTAAAGTATGTAAACTAGATACTCATGTTCAGGGTTGTCAAGGTTCCTCTGGTCTAATTCCTTTTCTAGGTTGGAAGAATAGGAGTCTAAAACGTAGTTGCTAAGCATAGGCATTAATCCTGGGGGACTGCGGGGGGTCAGACCCCTCTAATCTTGGAAAAGTCTAGAATTGTCCTCCCCAAAGAAATCATGAAAGAAACCCTTGTATTGATACAATATCAGTGTAAGAAAGGCAATAGAAACAAAGAACGAAGTAAATCTGCCATTCATCTAAGAAAAAAATAAGAATTAATTTTTAGGTCCCCCCCACCATTGTTAGAACAATGGTTCAGTCCAAAGTGTAGCAGCAGCAACAGCTGCACTGCTGAATGGTACAAACAAAAAACCCTTCAGTAAATAAATACTTAAAG